CTCCTCTCACATAGACACCAAGCACTGCATCTGAGGGCAGAGCTGATCCATGCCGAGGGAAGATGTGACACTGAACTTGTCCGTATGTGTTCCTTAAGGCTTTTGTTTACTCAGTCCTAACGTTGCATTAAGGCAGAAAAAAAATTTGGCTGTTAGAATACTACTTTCAGTTCCCTGCAATTGGTGGACCTAGGTGAAAATTTTATAACATCAACATCTAAATTAAAAGCCTTTAAGAATATTTGCAGTGGGTCAGAGACAGAGCATCAAGTCTCATTGTTCCTCAACCTCTCACTGAAATGAATCATATGGAGGGTGATTTAAACATATAAATAAGGGTTTGACTTTCTGAGCAGCTGTGCAACCCAGTTAGTATATCAAGATCGTGATTTTGACTGCACAAAATCAGATTTGTTGTCCAGCTGCACCCAGTCATAGCAGAGGTACACTACCCAAAATCTGTAGAAATATATAACCTGAAGCATGCGTCATGACTCAGTGTGTTGCTAGTACAGAGCCATTTTTCTTCTGACGGGTTGTGAAACCTCCAAACCATCTGTCCAGGATTCCCTAAACCCTTCCTCTCAGACTGCTTATGAGATGCTCCTATGACAGGAGTTGGAGTGGGAATTTTACCACACAGGTCTGTTCCTGGACACTGTAGCCAAAGACATTGACCCTGCCTCTGGCCAGAAGAAAGGTCATTGCCACGCTGAGTAATGGGATGTTCCAACAGTTGCAAAGCTACCACTTCCACACTACTACCATAAATAATGCCATATTTTTCTCCAGTGATCATAACATCATAATTCAGCAGAATTCTACCAACTATGAGGAAAGTCTTCCAAAATGTGAAAACTTTAAAGTTGCTGGAGAGCAGGTTCATAAGTGTACATAAGTGCTTTTCAGGCACTGAAAAGCTTGTTTAACAGACCACAAAGGATTCATATCGTCCTTGGTTTCTGAAGGTTTTAGCAAAGGTTTTCCTGGTGAAAGGACTGGAAGGCCTGTCCTGTGAGGACGGCTGAGGACTTTGGGTTTGTCTTGTTTGGAGAAAAGGAGGCTGAGGGGCGACCTCACTGCTCCCTACAGCGTCCTCATGAGGGGAAGGGGAAAGTGAGGTGCTGAGCTCTTCTCCCTGGTACCCAGTGCCAGGATGCATGGGAACAGTTCAAAGTTGCACCAGGGGAGGTTCAGATTTGACATGAGGAAACATTTCTTTACCAAGAGGGTGCCCAGGAACCTGGAACAGGCTTCCTAGAGAGGTGGTCGATGCCCCAAGCCTGTCAGTGTTTAAGAGGCATTTGGACAATGCCCTTAATGACATGCTTTAGCTTTTGGTCAGCCCTGAAGTGGTCAGGCAGTGGGTCTCACTGGTCATTGTAGGTCCCTTCCAACTGAAAAAAATATTCTATTCTATTCTATTCTATTCTATTCTATTCTATTCTATTCTAAAGTGTCTTCAAAACACATATATTAAATGGCTGTCCCCACTGTATACCCTATCATGAATCTCAGGATTTTCAGTAGTGCCCAGGCATGTAATTCCTACTGAAATCAGTGGAAATAAATTGCTAAGGTGCTTTTGAAAAGTCCTACTGGGTCCCTCTGTGCAGCTTTATGTACCTAAATAGGCTAAGTACGCAGAGAGTGTTGGGCTGTTTCCGTTTCGATGTCTGTGGCTGCCCAAGGAGCTTACGATTCACTGGGACAGAGGCTGTGCTCCTTTTGCATGCCCCACAGTACCATAACGCTGGGATGCCCAAGGGAGGCACTATTCTGCAGAGGTCAGTTCATGATGAGGCTGCCTGCTGGCTTCAGCCTTCATGTCAACAAATGAGGTGTCCCACGCCTATTTTCACTGAGGAGTTCAGGCTTACCAGCAGTCTTGTTTGAATCTGAGCACTCCTGTTTGAATTCCCTGTACACAAAACTCAGATACAGGAAGAATAGGTTATGGGAATTTGAATGAGATTTGCATTTTAATGGAGTTTCATCCATAAACAACTCATAGTCTGGGCCTAAGTCTCCTAAATCATTTAGGAAATACAGTTTAATTTCCTTTCTTTTTCATTTTTTCCTTTGTCTTGCCCATTCCTTTAATCTTTCTTCTAATTTATTCTTTCCACATGGCTCTAAATTTAGGAAAGCATTTTCACCTTTGTGTCCCTCTCTCCATTTCTTCTTCTTCTTTTTACACTCCTTTTACTCCCCACCACCATTCGTATTCTTCTTCTGGCTCTTCTTCCTTCCAGTTCTCCAAACAAGGGTCATTCCACCGTGGGTTGTCAGACGAAGTAGAGTGCTGAGCTCCCCTTACCAGCTCCTACTGCCTATTATGTACTTCTTTGTGGAATCACCCCCTGCGCCAAAAAACATCAGACTAGTTGCAAGAGCAGGGAGAAGGCCTGATACCGTTCTGCCCAGGAAAGACTGCACCTAGCTCCTAACTGCTTGGACACTTTTGCAAGATTTGTGACTTCACAAACTAGAATCACATATCCAAGTCAATATAGTATGTTAGGGAAGCATATGAGCTCAGAGCTGGTTCAGCATCCAAGTTCCCTTCAGGAGAACTGTTTGGCAACGCCATCAGAGTGGGAAACGAAGAAATGAATAGAGCAGCAATTGAAGAAGCGTGGTCTCTCAGGTTAGACCAGAACACTAAGGGAAAAAGCTGTCCCTTCATGTCCCTGTATGTATGTATGTTATTCCTTGGTAAACTGAAAAACAATTCCAGTTTCACTCTCTTCCAGGTGAGGCCTCCTCAAACTCCCATGTCTCTGAAGTGAATTTGTGCATTTGAACTGGAAATAAGGGGCTGAAATTTGAACAAAACACTGTGCTGTTTTTGTTTTCCCCACTTTTGTTGGTTTTGGAAGTCAAAATATTACAAATTAATGTTTCTCACAAGGGAATGCAGTAAAAACATTTAAAACATTTCCTATGTAGGTTTTCTATTTTTGGAACACATTTAGAAAGGGAGATGAAGTTATCCCCTAAAATGAGATCAACAAAAGAATCCTTCAAGCCATAAACATAAAGCAGTGGGAGGCTGATATAATATATACGGAAGTGCATAATAATATTGCTGGAATTGTGTGCCACCTTGCATCAGACAGCAAAAGAGAGGAAGGTGTGTAAACATAGACCAAACAGCTGGATCCAGACCTGTGGAATTATTGCTCCAAAATATCAGGTAGACAATGCTGAGGAGGAAGATGGTGATACCAAGGAATGTAATTTTAGTGAAGGAATGGTTCATACTGAATACGTGTGAGCACAGGACACCGTATGTGTCATTCTTTGAAAGATGCAAGAAGCCTGCAAGATGCCACTCTTGCCAGAGCTTGGGTGTTTCATGTCCAGGCTACAGATACACCAAGGCCAAGGTAATATCATCACTCCAGCGGTTCTGCTGAGCTCTGCATGCCTGCATTAATTTTGGACTCTTTTCTGTCTGATCTCTGCATAGTTATGTCCCTCCTGTTCTCTGTAACATCCTGCCACCACTTCATAAAAAGCTAAATATGTAGGACATAAAAGAAACCATGGCTAAGAGTGAGAACAACTTGCAAATCTCCTGATTTATATCTTGAGGACATTTGGCAAGGAACTCGAGGAAATGGCAAGTAATGGTTTTGCAGGAAAGGGGAAGGTTATTTTTTAAGACATTTGTAGGAAAAGACCATGGAAGGCAGGCATAAAGATGATGCAGCTACAGACAGCACTGGGGGACTGTGAGATGCCACGGAAAGGATACGCCAGAAAGTGAGGGCAAGCGTGGTGAGGAGGGCAAAGCACAAGCTGGAAGCCAAGGCCAGACGTGTCTGAAGGGGTCCGGTGAGAGGACGCCAGGTTTGCTCCGAGCCACCAAAAAGCTTCTCGCACAGGTTCACGCTGCGCGGCGTGGTTTGCATCACTGCCTCGCCGGGAGAGGCGATATGATGTCCCACTGACACAGCAGGACAGGGCAAACATTGCAACACTACGGCAAGACACCACTCTCCGCTCTGTGCTATATGAGGAACCGGCTTGCCGAGCTCTGCGAGGTACCAGATGGCTGACCTGGTGGGTTTGCTCACCAAGCCACAAGGCCACTAGTTTGAAAACTAACTACTAATATTCAAAATGAGGTAAGGGTTGGTCTAGCCTCTTCTATGTTTATAAAGGACTGAAAATTTTTTTTTTTTTTTTTTTTTGCCCCGCCACAAATATCTCAAAATAGTTTTTGTTTAGTTCTCAAAATATTCCTGTACGAACCTCCTCTGGGAGTTTAGGAAATAAATAGCTTATCCTGGACAGACTATTTATTTCCAGGATGTTTACTCGTGCAATCCATGTGATTGTAAAGTGCCTCCATTTCTCAAGCTCTCTTTCAGTTCCTTAGGGGCACATAATTTAAACCTAGCAACTTTCCCCATATACTGACAGACTGTTATTCGTAAATATTGAACTGGTAGCTCCAATTCTCTATTCATAGTGCAATTATTAATGTGGCAAGAGAGGGTGGTTTATGATTAGGTTTGAAATGCCCAGACTCCCTGGAACCACAAGTTCAAACCCCAGCGAGATCAGCCCTTCGCCCCTCTGTCTGCGCTAGATGCGCTCCACAACCTCAGGTCACCCGCATAAAGCCCTCAAATTAGGTCTGGCTGATCAGCTTAGATTTTAAAGGTCCACAGGTCATGCTTTGTCCAAAGGGGCTACCCCAATATTTGCGCCCATGCTCCCTCATGCCTCTGCTTGCCCTGCAGTGTTGGGATCGCAGCACCCACCACTGTCACCCACCACAGAGCTGGCTTGCGATTTAGTGGGGCTGGTGCAGCCCCACTGCTTTTCTCTGTCAACAAAAATTACAGTCCTCCACCTGAGCCACACCATTTCAGACCAATGCAATTCTCATCTAAGAGCTGAGATTTTGAAACCACTTTCTTCAGGATAAAATGCTGCCATTTCCACAGTTGTTAGCTGCAAACGCCGTGAAATTCAGACTGCAGCAAGATAACCTTCCGCTTATTCTCACTACCTATTTTCCTAAAAGAAGAACTTTTTCATGGCAGATTTAACATTTGTTTTCTCGTTTATTTCTTGGGCAAGAGAAGCAGTGAGAAAATAAAATCAGGATGGAACAGGTATACTGCATCGACATCCATCCATCCATCAACACACATCCATGTTCTGACAGATCCTCAATGTGCCTTAAGCAGCCATGTGAAGCCAATTAACCACTAGATGTGATTTTGTGATTCAAATAGGCAGCAAGCAGCAGAGATTAAATAGCAATAAACATAGCACAAAGGTAAGTTAGCTAGCCCATTTTCCTATGATTAATTCATCCTAGATTTCTATTTAGTAGTTTATTCAGTTAGCAGCACTGCTGAAGCTCCTAAAAAATCCCAAATGTGTGATTTAGAGAGTCTCTGCAGCAAAGGATGTTGGGAGGCTAGCAGGGCTATAAGAAGCAAAGTAGCAACTGAAGCCAGATCACCTGAGAAGCAGAGGAAGACATCAGGTAGAACCTGGTAGGTCTGGTAAGTATGTTTTCTTTTGTCAAAGTTGCTACAAGGTGCATTCTCCACAGTAGCCTCTGGCATTCTTAAATGGTTTATCCTTCTCTATTGTTTTTAGACTTCTCCCCTCCTTTATTCATAATGGTGTTATTAAAACAACTGAACAGAAAAAGTTTGTTGCTGGTATATATGTGTCTCTAAAGCACAGAAAAGTGTGAAAGAAAAAAAAACCAACCATGCTGTTGTTTTCCTCAGAAGCTCTGGTTCTTTTTATATTATATTCTTTAAAATAATATATATTAAAATAATATATATAATATATTATTATATTATATTCTTTAAAAACTAACTTTAAATAAAAAATAGCTTTTAATTGGCCATCTAAACTTTAATGAGTGAGGGGAAGGCATCAAAATGTATAGCTGAGGATGGGCTTGTGGTGCGGTGATGGTTGCAAACTCCTTCTTATTCCCTATCTAAGTTTAATCATGCAAGCTTACTGACAGTAAGCTTCTATGACAAAGACCAAGGGAAGTCAAGCTGGCTGAGCAGGAAAGGAAAAAGGCAGTGTCTGCAGGCTGAGCGCCGCTTATACTGCGTCACACGAGCTAGCACTGCTAAGAAGTGAGGGGAGAAATGGGTACCCAAATAAAAGTGATAATGGGATTCCTTTTTCCTCCCTTCTCTCCAAGGGGGAAAAAAAAAAAAACACAAAACACCTGACTCTTGCTGCACTGAAGAGTCAGTGCTCCACCTCTTGCCTCCCCTTTAGAAACTCTGCCCCTACACAGGTGCAACACCTTGACAAGGAAGGGAGAACTGGTGCCTTTTACTTCAGCAAAGATCTCTCGCTGTCCTCCTGTGCCCCCTTCATTGTAGTCCCATTGTCCTACCAGCCCCCACCAAGGCCTTTGATCTATAGGGCTTAGAATATGGGCACTTAAAACATATTTCCCCCTTGATGAGCTTCATGCAATCAACCTGCATGAAATATCTGAACTGCCTCATGAAAGCAAAGAGTTCAACAGTTACTAAAGTCCTTAACTGCTCATCTAATTCAGATATTTATCTTAAACTGGATATATTTATCTTGGGCTTCTCCACGTGTAAGAAGTCAAGTTCCTTTTTGCTGGGGGTTGGCAAATGAGTAGGGGAAATGCTACTAACAAAATCAACCTTGCAACCTTGTTGTAAAGTCAGTTGAAAACGGACTCGCACAGAACATGGTTTAGGATCAGCAGAAATAAGCCAAATGCCAAGTAAGTAGGAGGGAATGAGAGGTTTGTGAACCCCCTTTTAAGAAAACAAGAGAAACAAACTGGCAATTGGACTAAGAGATGCTTGTTTGAATCCAGAACTTTGCACATCCCTAGAGCACTTGAATTTTTGCTGCACTGTGGTAATCCCTCTGGTATCTAACAGTTTTCACCTACCCACCCACTGTTAGTGGCTGCAACCCTGGAAGTATATTATTTATATACTCTGAACGACGAAACACTGTCTTAATGATGTTGCAATTAATGAGATCTTAAAAAAATTCTAGTATATGTGGAGCTCCACATGCTGAGGGGTGGGACAGGGGTAAGTGTTGTATGTGTGACAAGCTGTCTTCTAATGTTCAGTTTTCAACGTGGCTGTTTCAAACCCTTGAAGACCACTGATCTAGACAAAGGATAAATTCCATGTAAAGGGAGAATGCAGACATGAAAATAGGAACACCTATTTGTCTTTGCAGCAGCTGAACACCTTACATGGCACCTCTTGCTATGTGAGCAGAGACACAATTTTCTCTTCTTACTTTCTTAAGGCAATAAACCTGACTTCAAGATGTCAGAGGAAGAAGATTCTTTCCTGAATGTTAAAAGATCTCTGAAAAAGCGAATGGTGAAACACAGCACGCCAGTGGACTCAATGCTTTCAAGAACAATGCCATCTCTTACAGATCTGACAAATCAGTCAATCAAGGACCAAAATGTCAGCAAGAGAGTTTATGGATCTCCAATGCCAAAATCAAATCGAAGGAGATCGTTAGCTCAAGTATCATCAGTAAGTGTTGAAGCATACTTCCCCCATATGTCTCCGAAGAGGCTTTCAACAGCGTTTGACTCGCAAGAATTAAACAAAGAGATAAGCCAAAGCTCTCAGGTTGTGTTTTCTAGAAGGAGGCTTTCCACGGTGTTGGCCTCTGAGGAATCAAATGAAGAGCCAAGTGACAAGGTTGTACCAAACACGGAAAGTCAGGCTCCCACCAAAGCATCTGAGGAGGCTGCAGTAACTCGCAAGAGTGGATCTTCATGGCTTGTTACGGGAATACCAGGGATAAAAGATAGCCCGATAGTAAAAACCAGAAAGAAGAAAACTGATAAAGCTCTTGTGGTAATGGCTTTCCTTTAGTTATGAAACAGATAAGCTATACAACTTCCTACCAATGCTGAATATATACAGGTCTTTCTAATAATGTGAGAATATTTTAGTTACGGAACAACTCCACAACTTTATCAGTGAGAACTTGTATTTATGAATTGGGTCATAACCTGCTAGACTCTGTGGTATCATTCCTAATCACAGACTGGATGGGATGCAGTGTTCCAAACTAGTACTTGCTTCAGCTTGTGAGCTTGCGTGACTAGTGTACACTAGTACAAAAGTACATTTTTTTAAATATATCTTTCTTTAGGAGAAATGTAAGAATGGGTAGAAATCAGTGATTTTTTTTCAAGTTTCTTAATGTTGGCAAGTTAACTAAAACTGGAGAAACAAATAATCTACTACTTTCCTTGTTTAATCCAAATTGTAGTGCTTTATAAAAAAAAATGCCAGTCATTGCAAATAGGGTCTTGTGTGCAGTCCTTCAATTAGTGTAGGGTTTCCTTGGGAAAGTTTAGATTAATGGACCTTATGCAGGTCTCTATTCTTCTGTTCTGTGGAGCACAAGAACTCAATTTCCTAGAACTCTGATTATTGGCAAGGGCCCTGTGGAAAGCCCACGGAAAGGATAGGGAGGCAGCAGAGTTAGACTCTGAAGGCTGTCACGTCAGTGTGAAGACATCACATTCTGTTCTGGTTTGTTTTTTGCCCTGTACCATATTGTTCATGGGTGTGTTGGAAACTCAGGAAAACTTGCCCGCTCTGAAAGTAAAGGCTTCTTATCTAAAAACAAGTGAAAACTTCCAGTTGGGTTCATAATGCCTTTGTGTATGTTGTCACCTGCTTTAACAAACAAACATCTGAATGGATTAGGTTGATTAGTATTTCTTTTCTATAACAGAGAAAGAAAGAAAGAGAATGGCTGCTTCGTCAACTTAAAAACATTGAAGAAGCAACTGAACACGAACTGACAATTGAAGAAGCTTGATTGAACTACTTATGGAATTAGTGCCATCACATCCTTCTTGTGGGAATAGCTGGTTCCAGTAAATCACACACCTGACTATAGTGTCTGTTAGACTTCCCCTTTCCTTCAAAAATGTTCTTCTTTTGTTGTTTGGTTGGTTTTATGATTCTTTTTGCCCTTTAAATCTAGGAGGAGTCCGGTACAAATTAAGAAGTGCCTCTACATGACAGCCAATGTTAATTCGTAACGGCTGAAGGCCTGGAACAAAGAAGGGAGGGAGAACTTTGTGTAAGAATCATTCTTCATCCTGCCACAGCTCTTCCTGACCATACTCTTTTGTGTAGTGTTCAAATCTTGTAGGGCTGCTGGTGTTCCTTAAGTGACAAAGTCCCAGTGGCCACAGAAGAGCGCAATCCTGGTTAGCCAAAGGAGAATCTCCTCATCTAAAGAGTAATCAAAACTGATGCAATCGGGAATGTTTTTGCTGCTAGCTGGGGAGATGAGGAAATAGTGAGAGGCACCAAGGAGGGAGGCCACCCTCTAGAGATTACTAATTAATGAGAGTTTGTTTTGAAGTTTTGGCTCAAAATGAGTTTGCCCCAGGCCTGGACTGTAAATGCACCTCACTGTTGCACTGGAGATCCTTAACGCTCAATTCTGTGCTCTGAGGGGTTATGGGGCTTCTGTTTTTCCCTGGAGCTGCTGCACGGAGGGGAAGAAGGGTGTCTTCCCTGACAGCTCTAGTGGCAAAATGGCAATTTAGCTCAGAGCAACTCTTTCTGAAGCACCGGTCAAGAAGTGATGCAAAAAGCATAATGCTCATGTTAGTTCCTACTGCTGTCTGCCACTTAATCTTTAGGCAGAGCTTAACACTTCTAAGTGATCTATGGGGTGTCACCAACAGGGATCCAGAACGGATTTACTGCATGCACACACATATCCCTGCATTTGTGTGGCTGTACTGATTTTTTCAGCCTGTCCCAGGCCCTATCTAATTACTCCAAAGGGGAGAGGTCCTGTTCAAAAGAAGCTGCAAATTAAGGATGGAGGCAAGGGAAGCTTTTTAATTTCCTTCTTACACACTGAAACTTGCATTAGCTCACGTCCAAGATGGCAGAGAAACAGGAGCATGGCCCAAGCCAACGTTATGAGACAGGCTAACCAATAGCAGCTGTGTTACACTCAAAAATGTGAGCAGCGTTGTGGTTTTACAACCTCTCTCAGGATTTAAAAGGAATTAGGATGTTTATGCTAATGATTCCTGAAGTGAAACTCTTCAGAGTTTCTCAGGAGAACAGCCTTGTCCTCAGACCTGGCTTTCTGTGGTAGCCAGGCAGTGGGGTGATGTTGCCCCTCAGGTCACCAGCCAAGGCATGCTTACTTGGTCTGATGTTTAGTTAATGTTCTGGTATTTGTTTGTGTGTGTTACCCAGGCTGCTTGTCTGGCCTCCACAGGTTCCTCTGGCAACCAGGGAGCTGCTGGCTGATGTAGATCACAAGCTGCTTTTGAGATAAAATAGGCATGGCTGCAGATGTGCTGCTATTCCCCTTGAGCTTGCAGGCATTTCATCAGCATCTATGATTTGTGCCAGGGGCTGAACTAACATCAGGCAAGTGCAAGGTTAGCGTAAAACCCTCCTCTACCCCTGGGACAAGCACAGATTAGTCTGGCCGCATGACCCAGTGCTTAATCCAAATGACCCAGTTCTGTCTCTTGTTTATTTGTACCTTCCCAGATAGCCAGTTCCACTTGTTCCTTCTTCAGGCTTCTCATCCTGGTCTCAGCGAGTCTTGATACTGCTTCTGCTTTTCTCTCTCCCACTCACCTCTCGAAGTCACTCTTGGCTCCTGCCTGAGCCCATCCAGTTCTCTGGTCTTCAAAGGTCTCTATCTAATGTCTTCTCCAATCTGGCCTCTAGCGGCTTCCATCCTGATAAGACACACAAGTCTTCTGTCTTCTGTGCCTGCTCTTTGCTGCTGGGTTCCTTGCCCATCTGATACCCTCCAGTACCTGATGTCAGTCTGCCACCAAAACTCAGCCTCAGCTGTCAGACCCCTAAAGTGCCTTTGTCTACTTAGGTTGACCCCCTCCATGATGCCAGGCCAAGTGGAAAGGTCATTAAAGGCCAGTTGGACCAAGTTCCCAGCCCTTAGCAGGCCAGGGATGTAGTTGCTGGGAAAGTCCTTCTCAGGCCCTGCTTCAGGCTACATCAAATGCAAGAGGAATCCAGGGAATATGGGTGCTTAACATCTAAGAGGTCTTTGGGTTTGTGCCAAGTGCAACGCAAAACTTTCTAAGATTCAGGACACAGTAAATGCTGGGAAAGTTTTCCAGGGAACAAGGCTGCTGTCCTGCCAGATTCATGGAACTAGTTGGTGCCAATAAAATCCCAGAGATTTTCCTCGGTGGCGGGAAACAAATTGCCCGGAGTGGTAACACAGAATTGACTTTGACTTGGTCTTTGCAAGTCCTGAAGCTGTATCAGACAGGCAGATGCAAAAAACTAAAGGCTTTCAGGATTTTGGAAACTACTTCTATTTCCTCTGTCTGGAATGTTTAAAAAGAAATACAAAAGACTGCATAGCATTTATCTCGCAGTAATTTAGGTCCACACGAATTTGCAAAAGTCACAATATTGCTTTGATAGCCTTTCATGAGAAAATATTAATAGACTTAATTGGTGCTTCAGGGGGTTTCTGAAATGTGTCTGATACTCTACATCAACAGTATTATTGTTAATTATAAGTTAGAATACCGAGGGACTTCAACCAGACCTATATAGTACTAAACTGCATGTTAACCCCTAATGAATGATGTTCCCAAAGAAAGGCTTGTCTCTAATTTTTAAAAGCCAGGATCTTAGGGAATATGAAACTACATACATCAAACTACAGATACAAACCCACACTGCTATTATTGCACTTCACATATAAGTATATCCATTGGGACAAAATGAAAAAAACCCTAGTATTTCTTTTGTTTTCAGGGTTTGCACTTTCATTTGTTTCTCCAGTAGACTGCCAAGTCTGCTGGAGTTTAAGGTTTAAGTTTAATGATACAGCTAGTTTTCTGTTACAGTGTGCACATACACTTTGAAAAGAACAGGCTTTGAGAAAGGCACTAGTAGTATGCGGTTCCAATGTTGTTTAATGTCCATCCTCTAGTGGCAACAATGGCGAATTACTGTTTGGTTAGCAGCTCTTCATGTGCAAAGTTCCTTTATGGATATTTATACTGCAGTATCACCACAGTATAAAAAACCCAAAACTTAAAAGCAGCCTAGAGTCCAACACCTCCAAAAAACAGGCCTCTCTAATTATCAGGGACCTTAAGTACGGATTGCAGGTGTTGAAGTTGGAAAAGATTAGGGATTATGGACACCAGATTCTTAGGAGAAGATAACCCCCAAGGCATCATGTTTTCTAAAATAAAAAGCCCTTTTTCTGTGTGGATGAATGTGAACCAGAGTTGCAACAGGTTCTTGAGCCTTGGTCTTGTCCTGGCTTTCAAATGCAACACTGGACATGTTTGTAAGTTCAGAGCAGCCTTCCCACCGAGGGTGTTCTTTTAGGGCCGTATTTTTCCTGTAGGAGCTAAGCTATGACCTTGACCTAGGCAACTGTTTTCAGTACACTTGTCTCTGAACGGATATTACACAATCTACCTGCTGATGGTGACTAAGCATGATGTTGGATGGGGAAGAACGAAAACACTACCAAGAACAGAGGGAAGAGACAGAAGTGTCTTCACCCTGGATTTATGAGCTCGGCCTTGTTCCCACTGAAGCAATGGTAACGCTCCTGTTGACAGAGCTGGGAGCGCTCTGCCCAGCTGCAGTGCTGCTGTAGGAGGCCAGATTGAAGAAAAAAATGTTTAGCACACATATTTAACATATTTCAGATTTAAATAACACAGAACTGGTAACTAAGTTACTTTGTCGCTGATCATAGCTGAACAATTTTAGGATAACTAGGAAAAGTAGAAAACTCTTAAACAAAAACAGATTTTTTTTTTTTTTCTCCCTAAATCGCAACACAGTTA